AAAGAGACCCCTTGTCCTCGATCTATGAGGACGTACCAAGTATTGGAGGAAAGTCTCAATCCAAGAACTTCAATCTAGATAGAAGCAATCACTTGCCGGAACCTACACTTGTAGTAAAATAAGAGAAATATGGGTTAGCACATAAAAAATGTACTAAGTATGATGACCATGAAAAAACATGCTTTAAAAGGGACATTTTGGTTGGAAACCATGCATTATGCCACTTTTTAGAAATATCATGAACAATAGCATAAGAGACATACAATACAAGTATAATTATGATGCAAGTCATAATACCACATTTAGACAATATCATCATGCAAATCATTACCTTTACCTTAAACCTTCACTTCAAGTAACCCTCTTTCTATACCTTGTGCAATGCATGGATAGTGTCCCATACCACCATACACACCAAGGCACCACATTAAGGTCACCAAATGTGAACTTACCATTCCTTCCTTTTCACCTTTACACAATATCCACACATAAGAGACATAACATTTCATAAGACATGACAAGGGAGAATAACTCATAATCTAACCCAAGTATAGCATGCATACCACATTAAGCATTTAAGAGCCAACATTCTTCAATTACTTCAATTAGGGGACTATCATACATAAGTCCTTAAGACTTACAGAACTCACTATGACCCTATCAAAGCCTACACGTCCAGTGTATAGATGGCATCCCATACTACCACCCACACATTATTGAACCTCTCAAGAAACCATAATGCACATCTCACATGATGGGAATAAGCGTTTAACCGACATAGACCATTCAAGCTAGACATGGAATTCGGTGTCATATAGCCCCACACAATAAAGAGGTGTTCCACTTGCCTAAGGTAGAACGGTAACATTAGCTCGGATGGAATCCACTAGCTAATATTATATTTGGGCACATAGTTATGGGATAGGAAGATGTTCCTTGAAACTCTAACCTAACATTGGGAGAGTTTCCATCTAACCATCTCTGCTCGGTGCTTAGCCTACATTCCCATAGATTATTTCATTCACATTACATTAGTGTACTAGGGAGGAATGCCATTGGCCTATCAACCCAAGTTACATCATTACAGAAGGAAGGAATGCTATAAGCCTATCGAAGCTCTAGAGTTCTCATGAAAAGAATGCCATAAGTGTATCGATTCCTGATTTCTCATTACATGTAAATACTCATGAAAGGAATGCCATAGTCTATTGATTCATGGTACATTTACTCACTAGGAAAAGAATACTATAAGCCTTTTGATTCAAGAGTCTTCCTTACATTAGATCATTTATGAAAAGAATGCCTTAAGACTATCAATTCATATCCATCAAGTCAAGACACATTCAATACTCATATATGAAAGGAATGCCATAGCCTATCGATTCATTTTCATCAAGTCAAGAAACATTCATTATACAATCAAGGATGACTAATCCTACCACTTCAAGTTAGAACATTAGATCATAGAAGCCCTTCACATTTTTTCATCATCATTCATGAGTGTCAAATTGAGAATTAGCCTTTCAATAATAACACATTTACATTGTATACATTATCATCATTCTGTCATTGAATCACATGCATATCCTTCACATCATAATCATACATAGTAATTAAACACCTCCACCTTTCAAGTGGATCAACATCTCTAGCACAATTCTACTTCAACATGTTATTTAGTCATAACTTGCCTTCAAGGCCATAAATGTCAAATCCTCAATACACCAAAAATTTATCATAATTAAGGCATATATAATGATATAATTCAATAATCCAAAGCAATTTAGACATATTCAAATCATAAGCTTTCATAATCAACAAACCCACTACATAAAGGCATAATTTAGGAATTGAGAGGAATCATGGGTCCATGGAGTATTTTCATCATGAATCATTAATTAAACATCAATAAAATCATTTTATAACATTAGAAACCATTTGAAATCATTTGAAGAAAGAACCCATGAGATTGAGTAAAACCCTTGGTTTGTCATGAACTTGAAAACTTTGAAAACTTCTTTGAAATTGACTCTAGGGTGAAATCTAACCCTAGATGAAGGATCACCATACCTTTACTAAGATTCCCCAAGAAATTTGATGAAGAAACGCCTTGAATCCAACCCTAGACCCCACTTCTTCTTCTTCTTCCTTGAATTAGAGAGAGAAATATTGAGAGAGGAAGAACTTTGGGGTTTTGAATAATGTAGTAAATGAAGTGTTTTAAGACTTGAAACAATTTATATTTATGATATAAACCATTTAAAATCAACCCCACATAATAAAACATTTAAACAAAATTACTTAAAAACCCGTAACTTGGGCAGCCCCGTCAGGGACCAATTCTATGGTCTGTGAAAGGGGACCACGTCCCGTGGTGGTTCCCGCGGTCCTTTTAGGCAGTGTCTCCATTGCCTTGCCAACCCCCAAGATGCTAAGGCATCTTCACGGCCTCTTCTACGGGTCGTGGTCAAGACCACTGACCGTGGAGTGATCCGTGAAGTTTAGGCAGTAGCTTGGCCAAAGTCCCTTTCCTCCCATGCCACCAAGTGATCTTCACAGCCACTTCTACGGACCGTGGTCAAGACCACTGGCCTTGGTGTGGTCCGTGGACTTGAGGTAGTGCTTGGCCAAGGTTGGCCAGCCTTGGCCTTTGGCTTAGGCCTTTCCCCCTTGGCTTGTCACTTGCCCTTGCAACCCTCAACCAACTTCAAAAGGTCCTTCAACTATGGAGTCTAGCACGTACCTTGATGTTGACCCTCACGATTAGGCTCTAGTTCATCCTATCATTTTCCGGGTCGTTATAGACTTCACTTATACATTGCACAAGTAAACTTATGAAAGGGGTTATGGTGAGGTTCTCTTATGTTATGAAAACTTATGGGTTATGTATAAATGTTAAGGTTGACTTCACTTCTTACACGTTATGAACATGTTTGACTCCTTACTTACGTATGTTGGCTATGAATAAGGCAATATAAGATATGTATTTGGTTGATGGCCTAAATGTAATACTTAGGATTTGGTAGGGTTATGGGATCTTACCTTTGCATTGCACTAGTATGGCATTGGGTTGCTTATGTGTTGGTTTGACTATGTGTATGAACTATGTATTGTGAAGATTGGTATATGTATTATGCTTATGTTGGAGACTATGCTTGTAATTATGATGATATCTCTTATGTTATGATAAATTGTATGTGACTTGCTTTATGAGTTGCATTCTCCAACTATTTTGAAGATGTTGTTCAAAAGTGGCATATAGTATTTTTTTCAAAGAAAATGCCCATTTTATGCATGTTCTAAGGATTTTTATGCATGGTTTTCATACTTAGTACTTTCTGTGCTAACCCCATCTTTCTACATTTTTTATAAGTGTAGGCTTTGGAGATATTGGATTCCTCCTCGTGGCTAGAACCTCAGTAGATCAAGAAGAAGAAGATTGTTGAGTCCTCATTATATTCGAGGGCTTGACCATATGTCCTTTATGTCTTTATTTTATGTTGTAGGCTTTTTGTAAGGGTCGTGTCCCTAAGATTTTATTCAAAGAGTTTTCTATTCAAATGTTATAGATGGTTTGATACATAGTGTATAGACTTTCTCATTTTATTAAAGACTTCGATTGTAAAGAAAAGTTTTAAATTCCACACTATTTTCCTATGATCTTATGTCTATGATTATGCTAATGGCTTGTATGAGATCACTTCGGTGTCGAGTACACCATGTTACGTCTAGGGGTTACTCCCGGGTCATGACACATAGTTTATATACATGGTCAACACTTAGATCTTCATATCATAAAAGAATCATCCCTAATTTAAACTTGTGGAATGCATAGCCAAGGTCCCATAATCCCATCTATACTAGGTACCACTTTTAGGCCACCATAACCATACTTACAATTCTTTGATCTCATCCTTATTTACTACTCATAGACAAGAAAGCATTCACCTTTAATAAGTCATATCAAGGAAAGCAACTCATGGAAACAATCCACATTAAGCATGCATCAATTCATAAAACTTCATAACATAAGAGAAACATACCATGACCACTATCAAAGCCTATTTGTGCAATGCATGAATGAAGTCTCATACCCCCACTGTCACGACCCGAGCCAATGCCCCGGAAGTGACACGGCGTACAAGACTATGAAAAGTCTTATACAAGCCTCATAGCATGTCATCACATAAGATAATAGAAATAGTACGGAATTTAAAACTCTTTTACTCCATATATACGAAAATAATTTAAAATAGCGGAAGTCTACTAGTCTCACTTGGCTGTTGACACCCAATTTTGACCGACCTCTAACCTTTTAGAAATGCTATTTGATTAAATACGTATTTTAAAACATATTTTGAGTTTAAAAATTTAATCAATTTTGTCTTAAAATTACCTATTTTAGTATGCATGATTTTAAAAATTATTGTAATTATCATCAAATTATGTTATTAAATTATATTTATCGATAGTTAAACTCCAAATAATTATCTTGCTAAAATATTTTAAAATTTAAGTATGTTAGTTTGTATGGAAATTTTATAATATATGTAGTATTTTATTAATCGAATAGCATTTTTTTAGTTTTCCTCCAAATCATTTAAATTTTAGCCTATTCTATTCTAATTAATTTCAATTCTAGCCATTCAAATTCAATTTTTTTTTTTTTTTTTTT